CAAAGGCTGCATAGACCACGTCCTTCGAAGGATGCAGTGTGCAAAGGCTGCATAGACCACGTCCTTCGAAGGATGCAGTGTGCAAAGGCTGCATAGACCACGTCCTTCGAAGGATGCGGCCCCTGAATTCGGACACAGCCATTGACTCATTAATTGCATATAACCATATGTCATGTAAGTGTGTCGTTCTGGCTAATAGGGCTTAACGGTACATGCATTCGTCGTCATTTCTCATCATTTTTGGTTTAGTACGCAAAATGAAACGAATGAATACAATTACTGATACTAGTGGAACCTAAATACGGAAAACATGGTAATTGTGACTGACTAGTGCTGGTGACAGTCGGTCATAATCGCCGGTTTAGGAACATTTTGGTTTGCCAATAAAGTTGACCAACACTGAAGAGAGGGTAGTTAATAACTTCAAGACAGTCTGTCGGCCGTCAGAACTCGGATAGGATGCTGGAAATATACCCAGCATGCTAACTCACTTGAGACAACAGCATCTGGGCCCAGAGCAAGGGCAGAAACTGCCTCCGCAAGGGCAGAAACTGCCTCTGCAAGTAAGTCTCCCTGCAGCATATAAGGCACTTTTACTGGGAAATTCAGACCAGTAACTGTAGCTTACAGGCTGTTTATTGAGACAGATATGCGACCATATTTGGTAGCACTCACACGATTTAGCTCATTATGATATTATGATATTTTTGTAATTTATTTTGCATTGCCTTTGGATTGTGTTTGCAGTTTTACTAATAAATATTTATTAAATAAATTCTGTTTTTCCTCCTGTACCAACATTTCACCGAACCGTGAAGCCAAAACCGAGCTTTGTACAGAATTGTGAGTGCCATTACACCCTTAGTAAATATACACTGGAAATACACTTACCTGTCTTGGACACGTGATCACATAGCCTAGACTAACATAACCTACGTGGTGCCACTACCGTTTGGCACTAGCTAGACCAGAAAGGTCACACTGCAGACTGTCGGCGATCGGTGAGTTACTCTTCATTATATTTGCATCTGTATTACAATGACCGATAAGCAGCGGGGCACAGTGACTCTCATTACTTGGGTTATATTTGCCTCAGCTGGGCCCCCGCCCCACTTTCAGAACCCTGCCCAGGAAAACAGGAAACGAATAATCTCCCCAAACCGTGGATTTCAGAACCTCGTGTTTCATAAATCGCCCTTAAGCACCTGTTAAAAAGCGCTCACACACTGCCTGAGAAAAGGCTGCTCATTGTCACCGCTAATTACACTACGCCTTATCATCACTCACATGACTGTGTTAAGCCCATCCTAATATTTCTGCCACTAAGATCCGCTCGTCTCTGCAATCGGCGGTGCTGATTAGCTGAGCAGCGCTGAGCTCTGACGCGTTTATCACAGATCCCGTCGACAATATGACCCGTACAGGCAGCTGGCGGTAGCCAGGCTAACCGCCAATCACATAGTTTTTAAATTTGATTGTAAGTTATGACACAATGGGCCTTCATTTAGTTTATCTGATCCCCAGGCGTGGATGAACAGCAGCTCTCTTCATCCACGGGGACATTTGTTAATGATGGACCACTTCCTCTCACGCTGGTTTTATTTTCCTGGGAGTACATGACTTGGCATTCAGCCTGTTCAGCCAGCTCTGAGTCTCTGCCTGAATCACATGGAAGCCATTAAACGCTGGTGGCACTTGCCTGTATGGAGCCACTGTGCATGAGGTAGACTCTGTACGTCAGCTTTTGTAGCTTCTTCATGGAGATCCAGCTTCCTCGTCTCCTCCGGTAGGGGGACTTCGGTGGTTTGAGTCGGACCACGATGGCTCGTTCTGTCACGTTCAGCCTCATCGTGGGAGGGCTCACTGACGCTGCACGGATCACAAACGGTGATTTCTGGTGAGGTCTGTGAGCTTAGCAGGATGGATAATGGGAGATCACAGGTACTGAATCAGTCGGGATAGTTTGTGATACTTACTCTCCCAGTGTGGGTTGAACCTGGGACTCAGCACCCAGCTGGACTGGTGACCTGAAACCTCCGCCTGCACCCTCGCGTAGTACCTCTCCCAGGGGTCTGAGGTCTGCTGGCTCAGGTCGCAGTACAGCTGTGTGATGCCCTGGCAGTGTCTTGCAGTGGTCCAGTGCTTTTCGCCGTAGCTGTGGAATGGACAGTTAGCGTGTCAGAGGTGATGGGGACCCCCATGTTGCTGTGGCATGCAGAAAGACCAGCCCCCTATCCTTACCTAACCTCAGGACCTTGCTCTCATGCTTTACATTCTTGCTCTGCTGGTGACAGCAGACTTACCACTGAACAATGCCGCTTGTCATTAGTTAAAATGCCAGACTCAAAGCCAAAGAAAGCCACAGGGTCTACTCACATTTTGTACTGAACAAAATATTTCTGGTTCCCGTCAGGGTGTGATTGGGTCTTCCAGTGCAGAATATTCCGGTAATCCACTGAGTGAAACTTCACTTCCCGTAGAACAGGACTGCTGATGTTCTCCTCGCCACCTGAAGCTGAATGTTACAGCATGGTTACTCTCTTGATGCACACAAATACACAAGACTGAAGTGGAGGGTGGGTGTAAAGACCGTACCGTGAGGCTGGCAGAGCATGACCGTGCATAGCAGCAGGACCGTTGGGGGGGGCAGCATCTTAGTGCAGTCAGCAGGCCGCTTCTGGATGTCCTACCTGGGGGCCGCCTGCGTTTTAAAGCCGCCGTCGCGGAAGTTACAGGTTTGGAGAAGTGACCATAACAGGACGTCTAGTTTCTGGGAAGCACAAAGTGGCACGTTATAGTGTATCAGTACGCTGAATAGATGTGTGACATTTAAATCGAGGAATAAACGGCTGAAGGTGGAAATACAGGTGCTGTATTATAGTGCATAATCAAGAAACAGAACATTCAGGGCAATGGATACGAACGTCTACTTCAGCTTTCCAGTGCGGCCCAACGTGACGGCATGTGGCAGTAATGCAGATAATGAAAATGCATTTCACTGTGAGCTCTGTGAAGTAAAGCAAAAAGAAAAGAATAGCAGAAATAAAAGATAATAGAACAGAGGGAGACCAAAATTGAATGCTGCATAGTGTTTATGCTAAATGGTCTGATCAGCTAGAGGGTCGTCTTACCACCTGCGGGGAGACGCCGTTATGGGGTCTGTCTGTCCGTGAGCTGATGCTCCGATGCCAGGGGTGGAATCAGTCTGTAGCTGCGTTGGCCGGGGTCCCTGCGTAGAGCTCTGGCTTCTTTAGGCACCTACAGTATAGATGTCCTGGATGTGAGGCAGATCACATGGAGCGACAGGCTGCTGCTGTCATGCTCGCTCTGCAGCGGTTTGAGACGGAGGGCTGTACACTCCCATACCACGCGGCGCGGCAGCCAATCCGGATACTCAGTATTGCACGCCTGTCGGAATTCCTCAGGATGTGACATGAGCTGATGAACTGCTTTAACCTGTGAAGGAAGCATTGGTGCTTAGACACCGTGGAAGGACGTGTTGCTCAGAAGAGGACCCGTCTCCACTGTGGAGGTGGTGTAGAGTGCGTGCACGCTGATCCGATCTAAGCTGAAATCCAAACAAAGCTCCTTAGTCTTGCTGATGGTTAGACAGAAGTGCTGTGATATTGGGCAATCAACCTCATTCTAATAAGGAGCCTCAATGCCATTGGCCATCATGGTGACTGACATCAGCAAACTGAAATGATGTAATTTCAGATGTTTGGTGGCAGTCATGCAGGCATCACAGTTTGGAGCAGAGGAGTTAGGAGAAATGTTGTTAGGCATTAAAAGAGTGCACAAAGAGTGCACAAAGAGTGCACAAAGGCTGCTGTATGAGTGAAGAAAACGGTTTGAATTTAATATTTTACCAATAGGTTTATAAACAGGATGCAGATTGCATCAGATTACAGAACTGAAAGGTTCACCCTGGTGACTGCAACTCATCACAACACAAAGACCACCCTCATCACCTTTCCTGGGGGGTCTGCCACCATTTTCCCAGGGCCCATATTCCATCAGCAACACAAAGCTAAGGTCCATGGCATCTGGGAAAAGTGACAGCTGGAGAAGTATCTCAATGATATAATTTGCCGACTCGG